GTCTCCCTGAAAACAAGACCAAGTTGCGACAACGAGGTCAACCCACTTGCTCTAAAGATGTTTAGTCTTCTGATAGAAACGACTTTCGAATCTCTTCACCCAACACTTTCACTCGAAATGGAAGTAAGCTCAACAATGTACAAAGTGGACGGTCAGCGACTGAAAAGCATAATCTATTTTCGCAGTTACCTAATTAATTTAATAATCATAATTTATAATTAGATTGCTCAACTACCAAGTGTAGATGGGTTCGCGTTAATGATGCAATACTTTATTGTCTTTCGTATAAATTGAGTTTACTTGTTTTTTTTCTCTTTTCCTTTTTAATTGTTCGATTTGTTGTCAACATTTATTCTCTTGTCAGCAAAGGACATTTGTCCACCATCGTCATTCACACCAGAAAGCAATTGGTACATCTAAAATGGCCTATTCTCTTCATGTTTCTATCATAAACTCATTCTATCCCTCCACTCTATCCACATTATCCACCCTTCCTTCAATCAGTTGCCCACAAGATGGGATTCGTCCGGATCGTCGGCTCCACGAGCCCTCGGACTGGCGTCTCGTGGCGTCTCGCGGCGTCTGGCCGGTCAGTGCTGTCCGCCACGCGACGATATACAACGGGACAACGCGAGGCTCGAGGCCACGAGGATTATTTCCCTTTCTGGCGCAACACCAACACGTCTTGCCTGCCAACTTCTGACGCCTGGGTCTGGCGCGACCGGTCGCCCGACGGATCGCGACGACAGACAGCGCCTTCGCTGAGCCGGGCAGATGTGCAGACGCAAGCGTGAATGCGATTTGAGGTGGAAAGAGTTGCCGACTGCCGCAGGCGGACGTACCGGATCTCGGAACCTCTCAGGCCTCATGGGACTACGACAAAAAGACACAAAAAATTGGCTTCGACAAACAGACCGACTCAATCGGGGCCATAGCATTAAATGGAGTCTATCAACTCTGAACTGGCTTCATGTGTTTTCGTCTCAACATCTGACTGTCTGTGTGCACGTGTCAGTGAGCATATGTGTATGCAAGTATAGATATTGATAAATTATGAAATGTCTATGCCCGCAGTCAGTTGTGTGTGTGTGTGTGTGTGTGAATATATTTACATCTTTATTATTGTCCAAAAGAGTACAACTGTCTGTGCACATGTATTTGTGTATGTGTGCGTTTTTATGTGCTGGTGATTCTTCTTGTATGTATCTATGTATATATAAATATCTATAATTATATATGTATATATACATATTCTGCATATTTTTAATAAGTGTTTTTGAGCCGATATTTATGTGAAAGCGCGACTTTATTAGCGTCTGTCTGTTATGGTGTGTGCATATAGTTATAATAGCCGATGCGAGCATGTGTGATTGTGATTGGCTCCATATGCAATCGGATCATTGTACGGTTGCAGAATGACAACTTTGTGACTGCCTGAATTGTGTGTGTGTCTGGCTGATATATCGGCTCGGCTGAATGATAAAAGTGGTAGAAGCGGTGGTCTTGTGCCGAGATCGTCTGGCGCGTCACCTCCGCCTGACTGGCTTTTGGCGTGGCGACAGCTCATTTCAGTTGTCATCGCTACCAGACATCGGCGAATCAGCCCAGTTTGCCTCCAGACACGATGAGACCGGTGAGTTTGCGGCTGTTGAAAGACTCGACTCTGCCAGCCGACGAGAGGACGTAGTTAAAAAACAGCAACTCCGATCGGCCGGAGGGCATCTTCTGTCCGTTTGACGGACTCCTGTTCCGTCTCGACCCGCTGCGTTTTGATCAGTTTCGTCCGGACCCATTCCATCGTTCCGTCGTTCCGTCGTTTCGTCGCTCCGTCGTTCCGTCGTTCCGTCGTTTCGTCGTTCCATCGCTCCGTCGTTTCGTCGTTCCGTCGTTTCGTCGTTCCGTCGTTCCGTCGTTTCGTCGTTTCGTCGTTCCGTCGGTCGGTCGGTTTGTCGGTTTGTCGGTCTGTCGGTCGATGGAGGAGGTGTACAGACATGCCCGCCACTCGGGCCACTCGAGCCAGGTACCGTCGCGACAGGTCGAGGGGGCGAACTCGACGTGGACCGGCTCGCCGCATTCGGAAGCGGGACTCGGACTCGAGGGTCTGTTCTGGTGCAATGGGCTGCTCGGCTTGCAGCTGCTGCTCCTCGGCGTCTGGTGGTGGGTCTGTGCCGTGCGCGCCTACTTCGACGAGCTGGCCGCAATTGGCGCCGGCAACGGCGACACCCAGTCTAAAGGCGACGGCGACGGCGACGGCGACGGTGACGGCGATCGCCGTCGACGGGGTCGTCCGACGAACCGGCGAGCTCGACAGGCGGAGGGGGTGGGCAAGATGATGGCCGGCGTGATCGGGCTGGCCGGCGACGGGTTGCTGGTGGCTCGAGGACGCAGTTGGGCGTTCGCCAATCCCACCGTCTACTCGGGCCTCTTGACGTCCGGTCTGGTCGACCTGCTGGACGCGGTCGCCGGACTGCCGTTGCCCTCGGGCCTGCGCCAGGCCGGACACGCCCTCCTCTTCGCCCAACTAGCCGTCACTCTACGAGCCCAGGCGACGGCGACGACAATGGCGACGGCGACGGCGACGGCGACGGCGACGGCGACGGCCGCGATGGCTCGCTGGGGCGTGCTCGCCTCGACGTGTCGTCTGGTGCAGAGCCATCTGGCCGGCCTGGCCGTCTGCCTCATCGGCTTCCGGCTCCATTCGCCCAACTCGCTCTTGGCCCAATTGGCCGAGGCGTTCGCCACCTGCCTTCAAGCCGTCTGGTTCTGCCAGTCGGCATTCGTGCTCGACCCGCCCCACTCCGGCCACACCCGATTCGCCGGCTCCGTCGGCCTCGCCCTTCCCACCGACTCCACCCACGACGCCGTCATGTTGCTCACCGTCCTGCTCGCCTGGTCCATGATCCTCCTCATGCTCGGCCTGCTCGCCGTCTACCTCGGCCTCATGCTCATCCGACGACGCCATCTTGTCTCCTCTCACGTCTACACTCACACACACACACCCGCCAACACACACATGCAACGTCGACCACAGCGATCCGACACCTCGAACTCCTCCGTCCGTTACACCCTCCTTCTACCCGAGCCAGACATACCCAGCCACGGCTAAGGCCTTTGTCGAACTTCACCTGCCCGATCCCACCATTCACACTATTCACACAATTCACACCATTCACACCCCGCCCAGTCCCAACCCAGTGCCACACGACCCACCTGTCCGTGTTGCCAATAAACCCCACTGACTCTGCCACAATCGACTCTTGATTTTCTCCTACCGACGAGGTTGGCATCTGCCAGACAGTCTCGACAACGCGTCGCCACGGAGACATGCACCACTCACGGCACTCTTCACCTCGTCTCCTTTCCACCATCTGACGCAACACACCGCCTGCATCACTTGCCCGTCAACCGTACGGCCGACGGCTCTTCCCCACCTTTCTTTCCACTCCTCAATTAGGGAATTTCATTTTGTGTGTGTGTGTGTGTGTGTGTGTGGGATAAAAAGGCTTTTTGGCCAATCTGATAAACCGACGAGGCAGTCGCTTGACTTTATCGCCATCCTCCGGTTGACACAGTCTAGAAGACCCCTGCTCGCCTTTACTTTTGGTTAAAATGTAATCACATCCACACACATACACACACATACACACACATACACACAGGATGTATTCAAGCTATTCCGTTCAAGACAATGAAGGATCTATTGTTTGTCGGCTCACTTCCATTTCGGGTAAAGTGTGTTGTGGAGAGGTGGGAAGGTCGATTTCACCAAAAGACGACGGTGGATTTCTCTTGACCAGTTGTTGTTTGGCTCTACTGGAGCTTTCCTGTTGGAGTTGTCCCCGAGGAAACCTCCTTCGACTTTGGTGAAAATGTGCTAAGCTTCGGTCTGTCGCATCACGAACACCATCAAAGCAGGCAGGGCATTCAAGCTCTTTGATTGTGGTATAAAGTGATCCAAATACGAACATACAAAGACACATAGAAACACGCACAGATACAATCACATGCCTCGAGGTTAACGTATGATTTAAACATACCGAACCATTTTATAGAAGTTGTTTGCCCTTGTTTTAGCAACGAGTCCGCAGTCCATTGTGTGCATCATCATTTCCAAAGTTCGATCGTGGACGTGGTACATTCCCACGCCAGGAAAACGTCTGTGAATATACCAAGTCCACAGTCAGACTTTTGAAATGAACATGCATACAATGGATTTCGGACTTGGTGCGTTTTGCTTAGTCTTCCTACCAAAATGGCCAAGTTGCGAAAACCGGGTCGAAAGGAGACTGCGACGACACAAAAGGACACACCATCTTAGCTTTCATATCTTCGATCAAATCATTTTATTCCTC